GGTTTGCTTTGTTCTTGTTTTTCTAGGTTCTTGAGGTATGATGTTAAGTTGTTAATTTGTGATCTTTCTACTTTTTTTGAGGTAGGCATTTAATGCTATTATCTTCCCTCTTAGGAAGGCTTTTGCTGTATCCTGCAGGTTTTGGTATATTATGTTTTCACTTTCATTTGTTTCAAGATTTTTTTAACTTCTATCTTAATTTGTTGATCCAGTGATCATTTAGAAGCATGTTGTTTAATTTCCATGTATTTGTATAATTTCTGAAGTTCCTCTTCATATTGATTTCTAGATTTATGCCACTACTGTCTGAGAAGATATTTGATATGATCTTGATTTTAAAAAATTTTTAAAGACGGCCGGGCGCGGTGGCTCACGCCTGTAATCCTAGCACTCTGGGAGGCCGAGGCGGGCGGATTGCTCAAGGTCAGGAGTTCAAAACCAGCCTGAGCGAGACCCCGTCTCTACCATAAAAATAGAAAGAAATTAATTGGCCAACTAATATATATAATATAAAAATCAGCCGGGCATGGTGGCTTGTGCCTGTAGTCCCAGCTACTCGGGAGGCTGAGGCAGGAGGATCACTTGAGCCCAGGAGTTTGAGGTTGCTGTGAGCTAGGCTGATGCCACGGCACTCACTCTAGCCTAGGCAAGAAAGCGAGACTCTGTCTCAAAAAAAAAAAAAAAAAAAATTTTAAAGACTTGTTTGTGGCCTAAATGGGTCTATCTTGAAGAATGTTCCACGTGCTGATGAAAAGAATGTATATTTTGTAATTGTTGGGCAGAATGTTCTACAAATGTCTATTAAATTCATTTGGTCCAAAATTCATTAAGTCCAATGTTTCTTTGCTGATTTTCCACCTAGATTTTTCCCTTAATATATCTTGAGCACTTCTCCATATTAGCTGACTGACCTATTCCTCATTAGTTAACCAAATGTTCTTTACAGTTCTTTATAATGGAGAGTAATAAAAACCCTTCTTTCTTTATATCCCTCCATCTGGACTAAAACCACTCCTTCCTGCCTATCTGGATTGGAAACCCTATGCTGTCCAGTCCAGCTGGACATTGATGCAAGATAAGTCTTCCTCAACAATTAGCTCTGAATATGTCCCATTTTATAAATGTTTAGTAGCTTCCAATTATCTATTGTATAAAACTCAAATTCCTTTGTCTACCTTTGTCTATTATGGTTCTGGCTCTAGTTTACCCTCCTAGGCCTATTTACTCCTAACCTTTATTAATAGTCTTTGATATGTGAGGCCTGGTTCAAAAGGATCACCTAGACCAATGAGAGACTCACCATACCTCCCACTCCACCCCAAGCAAGATTCTTAATTAAACTGATGAGAAGCATTGTAATCAGTGGTGACTAGCTAAAAGGTTGGTTAGGTTTAGAGTTGGGAGTGGCCATGAAAGAGCTAGCTGTGTACATCCTAAAGTCAGTGTGTGTCCTGACTTGTCAGCTTATTCTGAAGTCCTGAGATCCCTTTTATCTTTAAAAAAAATCCCCTTTTTAACTTGAGATAGTTTGTGTTTCTTGCAACTAAGAGAATCTTAACTAGAATCCAGGCACTGAGGAGCCACTGAAGGATTTTATGTTGGAAAGTAGAATGATGGCTGAGAATAAAATCATGAGTTTAATAACATTTAAGGGATGGGTGGAAAAATAAGTCACATAGGGTAGAGACTGAGAGGCCAGATGAATAGAAGGGAACCCAGTGGAAAATGGTGTTACAGAAGACAGGCAGTATTTTAAGGAAGAAGTGGCAAATGTAGCAGAAAGATCAAGTAAGACTGAAAATTGTCAATTGGATTTACTAATTAGGTCAATGGTCACCTTTGCAAGAAAAGTTTTGGGGGCTCGGGATGGGTACAAAAATTACAATGCATGAATAGGTGGTGGGGAACTGGGTGTAAGTATAGACCACATCTTTAGGAACCCTGACTGAGATGAGAAGGGCTACAGGTGAGAGCTACAGGGAGGATTTTTGAAAAAACCCATAAGACCTAAGCATATTTATATGCTTTGGCGGAGGGAGGATAAAATGGGAGAGATGGATAGAAACCTTAACTTGATAGAACTAATCTCCTGAAAAGAAAGTTAGGTGGGGGGATGGGAACTAAAACACTAGAGAGATTTGCTTTTGATATATTCTAAGGATACCAAAGTACAATAATAATGTTTGCTACATCCCAGGCATTGTGCCAAACACTTTAGCTGTATTTACCGAATTAAGACTGGATGGAGATAACAAACACGAGAATGAGGAGTTGAAGCAACATGCATGTGAAAATCAAAATTATCTCTGAAAATATAAAGATAAACTTATGTACTAATAATTTGCTGAATGAGGGAAGAGACATAGGGAGCTTAAAGAGTGGTAGTTTGAAGAATAGGAGAGGAAGTTGACCAGAAACATATACAAGTATTTTTGAAGAGCAACTCAAATGATTGTGTCATTTTCTCCAGCAATACTCAGATATACTAGTGTCAGAGCTCAGAGCCAGGCTATATTTACCCAAGGCTGGAAGTTTTTAAGTAGAGTGGAAGAGAAAGACAAGAGTTCAAGGAATTTGGCAGTACTGACAGAGTGGCTGAAGTGATGTTCAGTAGGTTTAGGTTAGACATAAAAGGAAGTAAAGCCAGAAGGGAATAATGATAGATAGAAAAGAAGAAAGTAAAAAGGTAGTATAGAAAACTTACAAACATAAGGAATGCATCAACTCTCTATCTCACTCCTTTCTGAGTGGACAATGGAAGGCAGCACAACTCAACTTGCCACAACTCATGAAAGCCACCAGAAGACTAAGCTCACATCTTCAAGTTCAGGGATTTCTACATGTAGCAGAGTCCTTAGGCAGGATAGATTCCTGCTACTGAAAGTGTAGTCCACTGACCAGCATCATTGCCATCATCTGTGAGTTCATCAGAAATACAGACTCTTGGGCCCCATGCCAGAAGTACTGAATCAGAATTTGCTTTTTAACAAAATTTCTAAGTGATGTGTACATACATTAAGTTTAAGAAGCAGTGGGATAGATAGACAAGGAAGTGTGGGTTCACCATGGGTTTGTTTAATATTTCTTATGCTAGGAGAAATAAGCAGCAGACATTCTGTCTGTGACATTTTCGAACACCCAGACTCAATATATTCCCCCGCCCTTTTTTTTTTTATTTATAACCTAAATCCAATCCTAAATGATTACTAATCATTGTACTAACTGGTAATTCCACCCTGCCTCAAACCCCAGGTGCTCTCTCTTTTATGGGCTCAACAATGTCACACCTTGCTGATCAAAATAGGTCTTTCTTGATATAATCCAGTCATGTTGGTGTAACAAATCTCCAAATTTATGAATTCTACAAATTTTATTTAATTCTATTTCTAGCAGTAGAATATAAAAGGCATAAAATTCCCAAGTAAACTCATCACCACATAAAGAACTTAATATATGACACATCTTAAATACATATTACTTAACAATTGCCCTCCTGATCGATATTACCCATAGCTTCTCTACCTGTTTTCCTGGTCCTTCCAAATTTCTCTCTTTACAAAAAAGGTGCCTGCTTCTTCATTTCCTCATTTCTTTCTCTCCCCATCAACATTCCACACCCACTAGCTAGCTGTATTTGTTTAGACTTGCAACTGTTTCTGGGTAGGGTGAACAGAATATCTTGACTTTCAGGATCACTTCACCTCTCCTTCATGGTTTCTTAATCTTTATATGCGGGTGTTGTACAAGATAAAACTATAAACTTCCTTTTAGTTTTAAAATTGATTTTGTATACCACAGCCAAACTTCCTCTGCACAGAAAACATACCAGAAAATCAGCCCAGGTGAAATGAAATGAAAGTCAGTGCCAAAAGCCGTTCTAAGGGGAATTCTGCAGTTAGCTACACACACACACCCATCTGAGATTGGGTCAGCTTTAAAGAGTGACACCGAGTCTTTCTCCTCATAACATTCTAGTGTTTTGAAGCTGCTACGCACGAGATTATGGTTTTGAGCTTTGTACCCCGGCCTTTGTGCTAAACCGCAATTCTCCAAGAGGAATTAAGTCACTTGAGAGTCCGAGCGGAAGCTTGACGAAATTGCCTCCTCAAGTTAATGTGGAACCAATTCCCCAAGAGCCGGAGGTTCTGGGGAGCAAGGCAAGTCCGAGTCAAACTGATCACGAAGATACCTGTTGGGGACGTCAGTGCTAATGGACATTTGGGTTCTGTTTTTTAATGACTAACGATGCCTTTTGTGACCCAGGTTTTCATCTTATACCAAGAGCAGAATCTCGCCAGCCTGCTGTTTTTTAATGAGCGGACGCTTTTAAGCTTCTGTTACCTACTGGGCCAAACTGGCAGTCAAAGAGGGGGGAAAAGCCATTTGTTCCCTCCTCAAGCTAACTGGTCCACAGAGCGGGGAATGTGCTCTGTTACCGCTGGGAGAACTGAAATTGCGGAGGCCTGAGGCGTTTCAAAATTGAACGGGAAGGGTTTTAAAACTGCTGCAGGGAGCGGCGTTTGCAATGTGACAGCTGATGACCACTGGCCTTTGAAGTCCCTCCTCCCCTCGCCAGGTCCGCTGTCGGTCCTCAATCGCCTCTCGGCTCTATCCTCCCCCCAGATAAACGCATCTGACACCCACCTCCAGCCCTTCCTCCCTGCTCCACTCCGGTGCTCCCGCGCTCCACCCATCCCCCTTTCGATTCCTACTCTCTCTTCTTTCCCTCCCGCCTGCCGCTCCTCGCCCTTCCCTCCCTCTTTCCCCTCTCTTCGCCTCCTCCCCTTTTTCCTCCCTCACGCGCCAGCCCAGCCCACCCTGCTCTCTCCCTCTTTCTCTTTCCCCTCAGATTTGCTGTCCCGCTGCAAACGCCGCCTCTTCCCACCGCTCCGGGAGAAGCCGGGCGGGAGGCCCCGGGGTCGGCTGCACGCAGGCGCACTGCACGGCGGGCGCGCGGCCAGCCCGGGCGTCCACGCAGGCGCGCGCTGCTCGGGCTCGGCTCCCGTGCGGGCGGCCAGGCGCTCTCCGGCTCTCTCAGTCTGGGCTTGGGGCCCCGCGGCGGAGGCGGCTGCAGAGGCGGCGGTGGCACCATGTTTCTTCACTCAGTCAACCTTGGGAACCTGGCGTTTTATGTCTTCATGGTCTTTATGGCCACCCTGGGACTATGGGATGTGTTTTTCGGCTTTGAGGAGAACAAGTGCAGTATGAGCTACATGTTTGAGTACCCGGAATATCAGGTAAGATTCCACCCTCTCCTCAACTGGGCGCTCCGAGACTCTGGCCCCTGGTGCCTGGTCCTTCTGTGGGTTCGCCGTGCCTTGGCTCTCCGCACGTCTCCGGCCCCCATCTCATTCTCGCATGTGTTTTCGCCGCCCTGGGAGACTCTGCAGCCCCCTACTCCTTTCCCCCACCTGCCCTTTGTGTCCTCTCTTCACGGTGGGGTGTTTGATAGATGGTTTCCCGAGCATCCTGCCCGGCCCCAAATCCTGAACACAGGCTCTTGCCTGGACGGGCCCAGCCCTCCTCATACCGAGGAGCAGCCTCAACCCTTCTCCCTGAACGCACACTCCATCCTTCTGGCGTTCCTGCCTTAACAGGTGCCCCTGGACCCTCCTTTGCTTCCCACGCGCCTAAATTTTTCCCCTCGTGCGCAGTGATTTGCTAGTCAGCTTTCGCGGTTCTGGAAGGGAACTGAGCGTCTGTTGAATGTGTATGGGCTACACAGTTCCAGAGGCTGTTTAGAGACACCAGGGTTTTACCTCTGGACGAAAGGATAGCCTGCTGAGTAATTAAATTGAAAAGTATTTAGCTCCCCTCCTGCAAAGATTTTGCGGATCCTCCTGTTTTGTAGGTTATGGGGCGTGTGTGTGTGTGTGTGTGTGTGTGTGTGTGTGTGTGTGTGCGCGCATACCTGTGTTGATGCATATCACCTAGCAGCGGGGCTTTTTACCAGTTGCATTTAAAATCTATTTCATGGTGCTATTTTTGTTTTCTCACTGTGTTTGGAATTTGAGAGAGACTTGGCCCTTCTCTCTCTCCACCCCCCACCCTCCCCATTCCATTTTGAATGTTTTCAATCATTTGCTTCATTGGTTAGGCATAGTAGAATCTAGACTTTCATTCATGACCAGCTGTAAAAAGAGGTGGTGACAAATTACACAACTATCCAAAATAAATTTCTTCCAAATGATTCTTTCATTTCTAAATGCATCTCTTAATTATGAAATACTTATTATAATAACTCCCTTCCCAAAAATGTGTACGTGCTATAATACATATTGATAAAATACATTTTTAGTATGTTTTTAACACCATGGCAGATTTTTTTTCCTTTAGGATGAAGGATGTAAGTCGGGATTGCTTCTATATACAGGTCATTATGGAGGGAGTATATTATTTGATTAAGCTGCTATAATTTAGATCTTAAAACTACTTAAGGTTTAAATTGCTGAAGAGCATCCTTTCCCATGGGCAAGATTCTAGTCAATTAAGATTTCATTTGAGATTCTTACCTTGGTTTTGCATCAGTGGATAAGGGAGAGGAAACATTTGATTACTGATGCTACTGAAGAAGAAGATTTTAACATGTTACTGTTGTCTCTGTTCATTTCTAAGCAAATGTGCTGGGATATGTTGGTTTATGTTTATCAGAGGCTATATAGTTAAATATATGAGCTTTTAGTTTAGTTTTTTTTTTAACTGAAAATAGGGCTATTATAAATCCACCTTCATCTTTTATGGTTTGATAACTAGGAAACTCCCAATAGATTGAAATAGGTCACTTTAGTTTTGTACTGCATTGAAGAGTTTAGTTCAGATAAAATCATTTTAGAGTAATACAGTACAAATTTCCAGTTATTTTTAGTTTGCCCAAAATTATTGAAGCTATTTTAATATCTGCAGTAGTAGAAACTGTTTTCCTTGGTGTTGAGAACAAAGCATATGGACCTCACAGATGCATTTCCTGCCTCATAAAATTGACTGGAAAGACAGAAAATTAGTATTGCTAATGCAAAAGAGCTATTTGGGGGTTTGTTGTTGTTGTTCAGTAGTCTGTATTTAGTTATTTTGGTTTGATTTGCTTTTTTGGGGGGTTTATACTTCTGGTGATAATTTGTTAGTATAGTAATAAATACAGTGGCAGAAGTTTTTGATCCACGATTTTAGCAGATTTTATTTTTATTATGTAAAAAGCTGTTAATTTATGACGGTATTTATATTTGATTCTTAGTCTTTTTATTTTGCACACTGGTAAGGTCATGTTATTTTACAAGTAGAATTAAAACCTGCGTATAGAAATAAGTCATTTTAAATATAGTGAGGTTTCTGGATAAATGAGGTCATTCTGTTAAGAACCAAATGGTTTTTTGAATAAAAATGTTCTAAAGATATTTTATATATTGCTTACTTTTAATTATATTTATAGTGAGCCCTTTAATTGTTCACAGGTTGATATCCAGCATGTGGGATGTCTTAGTCATTGGGTTTCCTTCTCTTTCTTGATGCCTTTTTTTTTTATTGCTCATTTGCATGTTCTTTGGCCAGCTAGTAGAGAAAATGGAAAGGTAGTTGAAATACACTCATTTTTATTCTCCATTTTTTTAAAACTATGGGCAGAAATTTGGAACTCTGCAAAAATGAAGCTTTGAATTTAAAGTTGTTTGATTATTTGTATTCATCTTCTGCCTCTGGTTTTCCTAGATTCACTTATTCAGAATTAATTGAACATCTCATGAACACATATTGCAAGCCTACCAGGCAAAATACACTATATCCTATAATGTTTCTTGCCTTATTATGATACCAAGGAAAAACTTTTATTTGGCAACAAACAGTTTTGGGCAAATTGTAGAATTTGAGGAGAAAAATCTCAGTTGTTTTCTCTGATAACAGTAATTTGTTTTGCTATGGCTGTCTTCATATGTGTGACCTAATGGTTGCTCTTTGAAAGAAAATATTGACATTGAAAATATGAATCATATATTTTGTTAAGTGTGATGTTTATTTAGCAAGTCATTTGTTGAATAACTACTCTGTGCCAGATATATCTAGATACTTGGTATAGGTGAGAGGGATTTAGAGATAAATCAGACTTTGTGTCCTTAATTTGTCTTTATAATACTATGGGGAAAAAGAGAATGTAATGTATAGTTACAATATAATGTACTAAAGTGTTATTTCACTATAAGAGAGTATGTACAAGGTTCTTCACAGAAGAGGAAGCATCTGAGTTTGTCTTGAATATTAAAATGCTTTAGACAAGATGTAGTGAATTGGGCCAAGGAGGGTGTGTAGTTCATAAGGTACAGAAACAAGAAAATTGCAGGCATATGTAAAGGTAGGAAGGCACCAGGACACATTGCATGAGAAGTATTTATAATGTATTGTCATTTATGTAAAAAGGAAAAAATACTCTATAAACATATTTGCTTGTGTATATGTAAAATATTTCTGGAAGCATACATAAGCTAATAACATTGGTTGCCTTCTAGGGTAGGAGAACTGGATGGTTAAAGGACAGGGTTAGGAGAGATCTTTTTTAATGTATATCCTTTTGAATCTTGAATTTTTCAACATATTAAAAACAAATTTTAAAACATGGCATGTGTAAGTTAAAAGAAAGTAGGTAAGAATAATTAGAGCCAGATTTTAAAGGACAGCTCTCTCTTAAGCCTTTGAGATACACACACACACACACACACACACACACACAGGCGCACACACACACACGCGCGCGCGCACGCACTCAGTGAGGAAACACATACAGTGTGTGTTTTCGCAGGATATTTCTTGATACCAGTATGGACTGTAGATTATAGCAGAGAGAGATACCAGTCTGAAAGATTCAGTTGTTTCTGGTTTTTTTTTTTCTTCAATTAAACTGGAATTCCTAGGACTATTCTTATAGGTGGAATGAGCCAAGGGCTGAGAGCTCTTTGTAAGAACTTCAAAACTGTCTGCATTTATCTTGGTCAAAATCTTTTTTTTTTCTTTTTGGTTAGTTACAGAGATCAAACTGTTTTTTAGTTTTAATTCATATTAGATAATATGTATCATAAAGTAAAGATTTTAGTTTCTTAACTCAGTATTTTTCTAGCACTTGGGAGTTTGTTAGCATTTTTGTCTTTTCAAAGGGGTTTAGGTTAGAGATGAGAAGGGCCTCTTCTAAGGCAGAATCAAGGAAGGACAGACAGCAGAGGCAGGATTGTGGAGATAACACTTAAGTGTAAAAAGTTATTGATCTTAATATGGAATGGGGCTTTGCTCATTTAAACTAAATTGTATAAAATAATTTGTATTGTAGTCCTGTTGCTTATAAATATTTTGTTTTTAAACCCTTGACCCTATTCTGTTGTCTCATCAAAATCCTTTTAGTACGCCTATACTTTTTCTGTCAGTATAGTCAATTACCTTTCCTATCTCTGCCTGCCACTCACTTCCAACTTGAACTCTGTGTGGAAAGGCGGTTTTGCCATTTGCCTACACTCCCTCTCTTGCCTCCCCCTTTCTTTTGTTCCACCTTTTTTTTCCATCTCTATACTTTTTTTTTAACTCTGTATATATTCATATATTTAAAAATGTTCTTTTTCACTACAAAAATTACTTTTAGTATAGTATTTTATGAAATATGTCAAGTATTTTTTTGCTTGCTTTTCTGTCTCCAAAGAATTAAATATTTATTTTTAGATATATTTGATAGTTTCCTATTCATCTGAGTTAATTTTCAACTAGTTCAAACTTTGTTTAGCGACTGTACTAAAAAGACTAATGATCTAATATGCATGTACTATTATATCAAATGGGAGAAATTAAGAAACTTTCTTTGGTCTCTTACATTTTCTTTTTGCTTAATTTGTACCTAAAGAAATAAACTATTGTGTCATTTTCATTTTTTATTATATACTGTGCATAATACTGTCCATATTGGTACTAATTTGGGTTGAAGTACACATATTCCTTTAAAGCAAATCTTGAGGTTGGTATTTTTGTATTTTGAGTATTTGAGGAAATAACTGAAGTTGCTGGTATTTTAAGCAATAAGTTCACAGTCTCTACAGATGTTTGCATGGTGTTATTGGCACAGATTGTTTATGGTAATATCCTCAAAGGAATATTCAGGAAAGTGCATGAATGATCAGAATTCTGTTGTTTTTAGAACAATGAAAGTAGTCATTAGAAACATTTACAGTTTTTAAATTTCATTCAGTAGTTAAAATTTTTTATCAATTGTATACTACATATATAGCATGACTAAATCATTCATCTATTGATGCCTACTTAAATAAATAACATTACTATCGAATGTAATTAGTTTTATTTTATATGGTTTCTACTCTTTGGGAAAAAAGGAGGAGCAGAAGAGCTTATACTTTACTACCTCTTTTAGAAATGCCTACCTTTTGCAGATGACATTAAGATCTAACTTATATTATGTTGAAAAATTTATGTATTGTATTTCGTATACAATAATATGAATTGCAGAGTAGTTTAAGGCATACTGACAAACCATGCACCTGGTCTATGAAAACTGAAACAGATGCTGATTCACTGGAATGTTTATGGTAAGAAGAGTGTATATGTCTTGACCAAGACATAGCTGTAAGGTCCAGATTAATTTGTTAAGCATATTGTAGGTCAAAGCATATGAAGTTGAGAGGTCAGAAAGCTACATTATAAAACAAACTTACTTTACTTTGAAGATGTAATAGCTGGAATATATACGTGGGCCAGCATAAAAGGAGAGACATTACAAAACAGTTAAAAATGGCAAAAAAAGAATTGATTGGATGATGGGAAACCTTTATCATTTCTAACTGTAACTCATACTGATAACTAAATTAAATGCATTTCCAATTATGTCAACATGTAACTTCCTGACATATGCCAGTGCTTTTCTGCCTTGTTAGTGGCTATTTTGAGTAATTTGTATTTGTTAGAATTTCAGGTCATTTCCTTTCATGCTGTCCTGAAGACTGCATGGTTCAAAATTCACATAATTCAAGACTAATTCTTTATGTGAATAAACTACAAGTAGAACTTGTTTTGTGTATTAAGTGGTTTTAACATCAGTAATGTTTTTATATTGTACTATTTCAAATGTACATAATTCAGGATTGCATACAGTGAGGCTGAATTGTATTAATAAATTTGATTAAAGTGAAACTGTATTTTTCTTTTTTTGATGTAGAAAATAGAACTTCCAAAGAAACTGGCAAAACGCTATCCAGCATATGAGTTATATCTTTATGGAGAAGGATCATATGCTCAAGAACATAAAATTCTCCCTTTGACAGGTATTCCAGTTCTCTTTCTTCCTGGTAATGCTGGAAGTTATAAGCAAGGTAAGTTTTGGAAGTAAATTTTGAAAGCTGTCAAGAATTTGAATCATATCCATACTTAGTGAATCAATGAAGTGCATGAAATGCATACTCTTGTGTTAAGTACTGTCTTAGGCTTACTGGGATACCCAAATATATGACATTTTTTTTTTTTTGAGAGAGAGAATACATGTGAGAAGTACTTAGAAAAGCAGACTTGAAGACCACTTTGCAAAGAGTGAGAAGGAGAAAAAGAATAAGTTGGAGTGGAGTGGGATAGTAAGTGGTGTAAGGGTTCAGGAATCAGCAGAGGAGATAAATTTATGTTGGAAATGGAGGGTGCAGAGAACAGAACCTGAAGCATTGATTAGGCTTTTGTTATGCCGAACAAGAAAGGAGATTGGACTCTTTCTTTTGGAGTTATTTAAGTTAGATTTAGAATTACTGGGGGGGGACACAGAAAAATGAGGGTAGGGAAATTATATGTACAGATGCCAACTTGATGTTGGCTTGGAGATATATTAATAGCAATTATTTCTGATATAACAACCAGGTAATCTGGAAGTAATTTTGTTTTCAACTAAAATCTGCTTAGTTATTAAATGGACTATAATTGTTATATAATGAAACTAGAATTGTTTCAATATGTATGATTACATATTTATTCATCTAGCAAATATTTATGGGTTACCTACCATGAGCCAGGCAATATTCTAGGCATTAGGGATCCAAAGGAGACCAAGATAGATGAAATCCCTCCCTCATCAAACTTAAATTCTTATTGGGAAGACAACCATCAAACGAATAGTAATGTTAAAAGCTAGAAAGAAAAATAAAACAGGGTAAGGGGATAGAGGATAAACAGGGTCAGGAGGTAGTCAGGAAAGGCCACTGTGAAGAGAACATTTGAGGAGAGGCTTGAATGTAGCAAGGGATTGCATGTGACTGTTGGGGAAAGGCCCTGAGTCAGTAACATGCATGGTGCCTTCAAGGTCACTATGACTAGAGAAAGTAAAGAGATGAGAATGAAAAAGTAGCCATGGGGTATATTATATAAATTGTAGAAAAGACTTTGAATGAATTTTGATTGAAGTATGATGGGAGGATTGGGGGTAAGAAATGATATAATCTGATTTTTTGTTGAATTTACACACATTTAGAGAAATACATAGATTTAGATATTCAGTTAAAAGTTATTGGCCGGGCGTGGTGGCTCACGCTTGTAATCCTAGCACTCTGGGAGGCCGAGGCCGGCGGATTGCTCAAGGTCAGGAGTTCAAAACCAGCCTGAGCGAGACCCTGTCTCTACTATAAAAATAGAAAGAAATTAATTGGCCAACTAATATATATATATGTAAAATTAGCTGGGCATGGTGGCGCGTGCCTATAGTCCCAGCTACTCGGGAGGCTGAGGCAGGAGGATTGCTTGAGCCCAGGAGTTTGAGGTTGCTGTGAGCTAGGCTGACGCCACGGCACTCACTCTAGCCTGGGCAACAAAGCGAGACTCTGTCTCAAAAAAAAAAAAAAAAAAAAGTTATTATAAAGTGAATACCCATGGAACCAAAACCCATATCAAGAAGTAGAAGGTTGCCAGCGTCCTGGAACCCCGTGTGTCCCTTCATGATTAAAACTCCCTCCCTTATTTTTGGACATAATCGTAATCCTTTTAGGTGGTAATTTCCTTAACTTTCTTATAGTTTTAGTACATTAGTATGCATCTCTGTACAGTCTATTTATTAGGGGCTGTTTTTAAACTTTGTAGTATAAATAGTCATTTCCACTCAGCATTGTCTTTAAAATTCATCCAAGTTGTTATGGGAGCTATGATTCATTCATTTTCCTTACTCCATATTATTCAGTTGTATCATACTCTGTCCATTCTGTCTTTGGACATTTGAGTTGTTTGCATGTATTGGCAATAACAAATAGTGAATCTTCTTCTCTATGTATCTCGGAGCATATAAGCCCATGTTTTTATAAAATATATATCTCATAGTGTAATTCCATGTCACAGGTTATGTGTATCCTTTTATCTTTACTGACTGTGTTGACTTATATTCCCCCAAGCGATACATTATACTTGCCTTTGCTCCACATCCTGGACAAAATTGGAATTGTCAGATTTAAAAATGTTAACCAGTCTGGTAGGTGTGACTTACTTTTAAAAAATGATCATTGTGCCTTTGCTGTGAAGAAAAAAAGTTATAAAAGGGCAAGAGTGGAAGCAGGAAAGGTACTAAACATAAATAGTCATCAGAGAAATTAGATACTGGGAGGATGAAAGGGACAAAAACCTACCTAATGGGTACAATGAACACTGTTTGGGTGATGAGCACGCTTATACCCATGAATCAAGCAATACAGAAGCGATCCATGTAACAAAAAATATTTTTGTACCCCCTTAATACTTTGAAATTTAAAAAAGTGATTTCAGGAAAAAAATTAGATATCACTTCATACCTATTAGGATAGCTATAATAAAAAAGACAGCTAACAAGTATTGGTGAAGATGTGGAGAAATTGGAAATGTCATACATTGCTGATGGGAATATAAAATGGCACAGCCACTTTGGAAAACAGTTTGGCAGTTCTTTAGAATATTAAACATAGAGCTATGATGTGGCCCAACAATTTTACTCCTAGGTATCTACCCAAGAAAAATAAACATACACCCACATAAAAATTGGTATATAAATGTTCATAGCACTATTAATAATAATCAAAAGTGGAAACAATTTAAATGTGCATCAACTGATAAATGGATGAATAATATATGACATCTATACAATGGAACATTATTCAATAATGAAGAGGAATGAGTTACTGATACATGCTACAACATGGATGAACCTTGAAAACATTATGAAGAGTGAAAGAAGCCAGTCACAAAAGAACATACATGTTATATGATCCTATTCATGTATGAGTTGTCTAGAAAAGGCAAACCCATAGAGACAGAGAGTAGATTAGTGGTTGCTACAGGTTGCGAGGAGTGGGGACATGAGGAGTGATGGCTAATGAACATAGGATTTTGTTTTTGAGGTGATTAAAAAATGTCCAACATTAGATTTTGGAGATAGTTGTACAATATATAACAGATATGATGAATATACTAAAAAACATTGAATTGTACACTTTACAAAGTGAGTTATACAATATGTGAATTATAGTGTGTGTGTAGTATATGTTTTTAGAAAATGGAATGGCAAACAGGTATTTTGTTTGCTAAACTATATGCCTCAGTTTTATGCCACTTAATGTAATTAATTCATAATAAATTTTGTTAAAGGGTTTACAAAACAGCAATGAGAAAAAAAGGTGGAAACAGAGAGACCAGTTAGGAAACTGTAGAGTAGTTCAGGCAAGAGATGATGGTGTTTGGATTAGGAAGGTCGTGGTAGAAATGATGAGAAACTTCGACTGGGGATATATTGGGAAGGAAGAGCAAGGCAGAACTTGTTGATGTATTGGATGTGATATGTAAGAGAAAGAGACAAATTAAGCATGAGTATCTAAACCAAGTGATGAGCGGACATTTCTTGTAGGAACCTTCTTGTTCTTAAAATCTTCAATGTCACAAAATTTCTATTTCTCATTCTTCAAAGAATCCTTCCCTTCTCATTTAGCTAGTGTCACCCCTACTGAGCAGAAAGCAGGTAGAGAAGAGTGACCTGTTCACTTTTTATTTATTTAATTTTAAAAATATTTAGGGCACACTTACTATGTTTAAGGCATACAGTTGCTAGGTTAGTTTGTTCTTCTAAATTAGTACTGTTAGTGGATTTCATCCTGAAATAGGTGGTTTATATTCATGATATAGGATAAAGTTATTTATTAAGAAACTTTGAATAAAGACTGGATAAAACTTTAAAAAAATTTTTTTAATTTGTACTTCACTCTTTTCCTCTGTAGTTCGTTCTATTGGCTCTATTGCCCTTAGAAAAGCAGAAGACATTGACTTCAAGTACCACTTTGACTTCTTTAGTGTGAACTTCAATGAAGAACTGGTGGCACTGTATGGTGGAAGTCTTCAGAAGCAGACCAAGTTTGTACATGAATGCATTAAGACAATTCTCAAACTCTACAAGGTAAGAGATAAATGTGCAAATTAATAATGGTACAACCTATAAGCATCTTTTCTTCAATATATTTTAAATCATATTTTTTTATATGGAAGTTGAAGCAAAGATTGCACAAAGTTCTTTTTTTTTGTTTTTTTTAGATTATATTATCTTGAACTCAGTGGTGGTTTTGAAGTTTAAGTTGAATTTTCAAGAAACCTTTCTTGTGGTGAATTCAAGGGAAATTTATTTAGCTGTATATGTAAATTAGGAGTTCAATGCATTTCCTAAAAACTATTGGCATAGATTTCTGCTTTTAGACATGAGTAAGTAACTAGTACTAGATTAGGCTACCAATATATATATAAACAATTGTAAAACTGGTCAAGATATCTGAAGCACATGTCCTTGAGATGTTGGACAATGAAGCAGCAAAGGACCATGATCGCTGGAAGAAGTAAGCTCCATGACTGCCCTGGATTTCTGCCTGGAAGCATTTTCTAGACCATGAGGCAAGTAGATAGAGATCAGACAGAGCACATTGATGTCACTCATCTGAAGAAAGCAGAGAATTTGAATTTGGAGTTACTAAATTGGGCTAGGTGGGATAGGCTATGAGAAAGAAGAAAATGAGGCAGAGAAGCAGCTTTCAGAATTTTCATTTTTCAATCTTTGGATTCAATGCTGTATATACAGAGGGCAAGAAGCTATAAGACAGTGGCATATCAAGGGTGTTGTGGTGGGATATGTCCACCTTAGGTATAAGAAATAAGAGAAAATATATGTTTTAGAGAAATTTAAAAGAGCAGTAAAACAGACTGAAAATCATTCTGTGCTGGCAATTCTAAATAACGTCAGAGATAAAATATAGTTACCTACTGGGGTGAACCAATTCCTCCCTTGGAATGTGGCTATACAAATCCTGGAGAAAACAGCTGGTGAGGAATTGTAAGGTGAGTTGAGATTTCAGAGGCCATGTGGTGCTGGGAAACAGATGTTACGACCAGTTAGAGTAGAAGGACCTATCTGACGCCAGTAGGCATTAAATTGAGACCTCAGAAAGGGTACAATTTAGAAATGCTGTAGCCCTAAAGTAAGAGGTACTTTAGTTTCCATCTTAACAATACTTAAATGTAAGCCTCAAAAATACCAAACAAAGTTAAGGATTTAAAGTAAAAGATGCCTATAACAAATGAACAAATGGGGCATCTCAACAGACATGAAACTAAAAACAAAAAGGAAAATCTAGAGCTGAAACAATACATGTCAGAAATAAAAAATTCACTACATCGGCTTAAACCAGATTGAACACTACAGAAAAAGAGAACACTGGGTTTGAAGACAGGACGATAAACACTATCCAAACTGAAACATAGTAACCTGTGGGGCAGTCTAATACATGTAGAATTGGAATCTCAGAAGAAAGGAAAGAAAAATAAGGGAGGAAAACATTCAAAGAATTAGTGGCCCCAAATTTTCCAATTTTGCTTAAAAAATTTCAACCCACAGTTCCAAGAAGGTCAATGAAAGTCAAGCAGGAGAAACAATCATAGTCAAATTGCTGAAAACCAAAGTAAAGAGAAAAATTCTAAAAATAGAGAAAAACCATTTACTTACAGGAAAAATAATAAAATTTCCACTGATTTCTCATTAGAAATAATGAAAGCCCAAAACAATAGAATAACATCTTAAAGGTTTTGGGGTGGGAAGAGGGGGATTCTTAACCTAAAATTGTATGTCTAGCAAAAGTGTTCTTTAGAAATGAGGGTAAAATAAACATACTGTCAGAGTTAAAAAAAAAAAAAAAGCATCTGGTAGTTTTGTCACCAGTAAAAGGAAATAGGAAAATAGAAAATTACTATCAGGGGAACAACATAGTAATTGCTGCAGACAAGTTCCGCCAATGGATGCTAAAGTTAGTGGATGAAAATTTGAGGAGAAAAAGGATATTCACATAGTCTGAAAGTATTACTTATAAAATAGTTGTTACCTACAAAGGAAAGGAATTATTTTACAGTGGAAAAATCTGGCAGATACCATCCTAACCAAGGTTAATATTACCAGTAATAAGGCATCAATACCGTGAACCCCCTTGACATGATACACTGAGAAGAATGCACCATGATTTCTGTAGTATTATTGCCAAAAGTTCATAACCTCATTCTAATCATGAAAAAACTTCAGACAAACCCAGACTGAGTGACAACTACAAAATAACTTGAAAAGTATGAAGGTCATAAAAAACAAGGAAAGATTGGAAAATTATCACAGATTAGAGGAGACTAAATGCAAGGTGGGGTGCTAGATGGAATCCAGAAAAAGGAAAAGTACGTTAAAGGAAGAACTGGTGAAATATAAATAAGGTCTGCAGTTTAGTTAATGCTGTTATACTAATGCTAATTTCCTGATTTTGGTAATTGAGTTTGGTTATGTAAAATGTGAACATTGGGGGAAGGTGGAGGGAGTGTATATGGGAACTCTGTATTATTTTTGTAACTTTTCTTAATTGGTTTAAAATAAAAAGGTAAAAAAATTCTTTATAGCAATAAAAAGTATTATGAGGTTTATAATTTATTTAGAAGAAAATATTTTATAATAATGGTGAAAAGGATTGGAAATAGGAATAAATAGAATTATTCTGCTACAAGGTTCATCTGTGAAGTGGTATAATATTAATTTATGGTAGACTAATAAGGTCACATATTATAAGTTTTAGAGTAACAAAAAAGGAGATACAGCCAAAGAACAAATGGAAAAAACATAATGGAACATTAAAAAGATTCAATCCAACATCATACTCAATAGTACAAAACTGAAAACTTTTCTTCTAAGATCAGAAACAGTGAAAAGATGCCCACTCTTGCCACTTTTAATCAATGTAGTGGTGGAAATCCTAGCCAGGGCAGTTAGATGAGAAAAAGAAATAAGAGACATCCAATTCAGAAAGGAAGAAGTAAAATTGTCCCTGTTTGCAGATGACTTCGATCTTGTATTTAGACAATTCTAATGGTGCCACAAAAAATACTGTTAGAATTAATAAATTAACTCAGTGAATTGCAGGATACAAAATCACCATAACAGAAATCATTTCTGTACATCAACAATGAAGTATCTGAAAAGGAAATTAGAAAAAATTCCCATTTACAGTAGCATCAAAAAGAATTAAATACTTCAGAATAAACTTAACTAAGAGGTGAAAGACTTCTGTATTGAAAACATGGATGAAAGAAATTAGACACAAATGGAAAGACACTCCATGTGCATAAATTAAAAGACTCTATATTGTTAAATTGTCCGTAATACCCAAAGTAACCTACAGGTTCAATGTAATCCCTATGAAAATTCTGATGGCATTTTTTACAGAAATAGAAAAAAACATTTCCAAAATTCATATGGAACCACAAAGACCCCAAATAGCCAAAACAGTCTTGAGAAAGAACAACAAAGCTGGAAACATAACATTTCCTGATAACATTTCCTTGAATAGACATTTAATCCACAGCAATTAAAGCAGTATGGTGCTGGCAAAAAAACAGACATAGACCAGTGGAACAGAATAAATAGTCCAGAAATAAATGCACACATACATGGTCAACTGATATTTGAAAGGCTGTCAAGAATGGAGAAAGGATGGTCTCTTCAGCAGTTGTGTTGGGAAAACCAGATACCTACATGCAAAAGAATGAAATTGGATCCTTACCTCATACACAAATCAACTCAAAATGGATTAAAGGCTTAAACATAAAACCTGAAACTATAAAAGTAAGTCTCCCAGGAGAAAACAAGGGAAAAGCTTCAGGACATTGGTCTTGGCAGTGATGACACTAGAAGCACAGGCAACAACAAAATTAGATGAGTGGGACTACACAAACCAAAAACTTCTGTGTAGCAAAGAAAACAATGAACAGAGTAAAAATGCAATCTGTGGAATGGGAGAAAATGTTTGTAAACCATATCTGATAAGGGGTTAACATCAAAAATAGATAAGGAACTCAGACAACTCAATAGCAAAAATCTAATAACCTGATTTAAAAATGTGCTAAGGGCTTAAATAGACGTTTCTCAAAAGAAGACATATAAATGGCCAACAGGAAAATGCTCAACATCACTAATCAGGGAAATGAAAATCAAAACTGCAGTGAGATATCACCTCACGCCTGTTAGGATGGCTATTATGTATATTAAAAAAACAAGACAAAAAACTAGTATTGGTAAGGATATGGAGAAATTGGAACCCTGGTATACTGTTGGAATGCAAAATGGTACAGCTACTATGAAAAAGAGCATGGAGGTTTTTCAAAAAATTCAAAGAAAAAAGAACTACCATATGATCTAGCAATCTCACTTCTGGATATTTATCCAGAAGAATTGAAATCAGGATCTTAAAGAGATATTAGCATTTCTGTATTCATTTCAGCACTATTCGCAATAATAAAGATGTGGAAGTACCATGAATGTCCATTGATGGATGAATGGATAAAGAAAATGTGATACATATAATGGAATGTTATTCAGCCTTTAAAAGGAAGGAACTCCTGTAATGTGTGACAACATAGATGAACCTTGAGGGCATTATGCTAAGTGAAATAAGCCAATCATAGAAGGAAAAATTCTGCATGATTCCACTTACATGAGGTGTCTAAAATAGTCAAAAACTCATAGAAGCAGAGAATATAATTGTGGTTGCTAGGGGGTAGGGGAAATAAGGACTTGCTAATCATGCACGATGAATAAGTTCTAGAGATATGCTATACAACATTGTGCCTATAGTTAACAATATTATACACTTAAAAACCTGTTGGGAGAGTAGATCTCATGTTAAATGTTCTTACCACAGTTTTTAAAAGCTCAATTTGAAAAGAAGAAAGTATGAAAAACAGATGGAACAAATAGAAAGCAAATGGTAAGATGATGGAGTTAAACCCAACTATATCAATAATTACATTAATTATAGATGGATTAAACACTCCAGTTAAAAGGCAGATCTTGTCAGACAAGATTAAAAAGGCAAGATACACTGGCTATAT